AACAATCTAAATTGAAATTTTGTATAAAAACATGATTTTTTTTCAAGTTGCGAAATATTGGTAAATTTTTCATTTTTTTCTGGGTTTTTTAAGTTCAAATAGAATCTATACTATTGAAAATATAAATGTGTTTTGATATTTTGTTTCGGATGGAAATTGTGACCTGCAATTTTCTTGACAAATGAACCTGCACGCTCGTGGCGCAACGGCAAAATGCTTTTCCCGGCATATTATGACATATATTTTAATGAAAAAAATTGAGATTTTTGAAATATATAACAGTAATACCTGAAAGTTCCGTTTCTATTAAATATTTAAATCCTTTCTTAAAAATTCCTCAAAAAAAGCGATTTTTAAAGCCTCTAAAGCAGGCTCCACCCGCCCTTAAGCATTTTAAAATCTTTATTTATCATAACTGTTTGCCAAAGCGTTTGATCATAGATTGATTGCGATCTATAGGGTTTCCACAGATTTTTTTCTAGATTTTTTTAATTATCCGAGTATACCGGCTATTTCAATATTACAAAATACTCTTGTTTGGTATGTCTTTTTTTCTCCTCAGCCCTCTGCTTAAATATTATTTCGTATGTGTGTCCACGAACCGATCTGAGTTCCGAGAATCGCGTTTACTGGACGCTTACTAATTGTCGAGGAAGAAAATGACTCATAGATCGTATTGTGAATAATCGTGGACGACGCTGAATTTAATATACAACGTGAATACGGAGTTTTTGCCTTGAACGGATCGATTGTACTACTATTGACTGCATAACAATTCATTTTGCTATAAATAGTAAAAGATAAGAAATAATAAAAGATAAAGATTTGGCTTTGAAGGCTCAAAAGTGGATGTAACTAATAACGTTTTTTATTTTTTTGAACAGGTCCATCGTCCATTCTTATCACCAAATTAATTTATTTTAGGTGTTATTATCATAATTAAGTTCGACATGGTAACTTATATTTATTGACAGTAACTTATTATTATTTTTTAATTAAATTGTTGTAACTAAAGACTATGAATCTCGGCTTGAATTCTATATACTAGCTACGACTAACGCTATATGTCATATGTGATTCTACTTAGCGCCTTAATGGTACATTTTATGTACATTTTTATAAGGTAAAAATACCTATTGGAATATTTAAAAAAATCAGTAATTTTTAATGGTAAGCCAAGTAGAAAAAAAATTAGTACACGTCAGAGATTTTGCCTTATCTTAATTGCGCCAAATATTACAGAAGTATTTCCTTACATTATATATATTTAGATGACATTATATATATATATATATATATATATATATTTATATTTATTATATATTATATATATAAATTATATATAATAAAATATATATTTATATATATTTATACATATGTGCGTATATCTAATAGAAAAAGCTGACTAGTTCTCCATGAAATGGAATTGTAATTCCAGCAAGTGCATAAAGCTTTTACGAAATAATACCTACTCTTGAAATGTAAAGAATTTTACACTAATTAAATTTACTGAAGAACAATTAAAATCATTTTGAAATTCACTCTTAATTAAAATAATAATAAGCTAGTGGGGCGCATGGCAACGTGCCTTAAGGCAACTTGCTGGAACTTCCGTACCAATTTTTTTTTAAAAGAATAACTTTAAAAGATTAATATACTTATTGTTAAAATCTCTATAAAATATCTGATAATTTGATGTGCATATGTCTAATGATTATTTTTGATTGCCAAATGGCATTTTTTTTTACTTTTTCACTAGATTTCCGAAACCGCTAGACCTGCCTTCATGAAAATTTAATCAGTTCTTCATCTTGTCAGTAAAAGTAAAATGTTTTTTGAATTATTCAAATCGGACGCTCTGTTCTCTTAAAAACTGAATTACCGTTTTGGCACTTTTTGCCCCGTATCATCGAAACGGCTAGACCTGTCTATGCCAAAAACTAATCAGCACGTCTCCTTATCAACAGCAATCGAATGTTTTTTAAATAATTAAAATCGGTTGAACCGTGTTCCCGAAATCGTCGACGAAAATTTGTATCCGCACACACGCACACACACACACACACACACACACACACACACTCACATACACACACATACATCATTTTTTTCTAAGGTATGCCAACATGTTCAGAAACCTCTGAAATGTAAAGATAGATAAAAAATTTCATTTTAACCACGGGAAGTTAATAATTATGGATTTTGTATTTGCATATCATATGGTAGATGAACTTAATATAACACCTAGTAAAGAATTCAATAATAACACAAGTTGGAAGCATACTCACCAAATTAACAATAATATTATTGATAAAGATATCCAATAGAGATGAGGTTTTAAAAATATTCATATATGGCCAGAATGTAGAAATTAAATGAATATAGAGTGCATACTCTATGCAGAATAATAACAGATTATAGATAATCTACTACGAATAATAATTTCTTTTACAAGCCATCATTAAAATTATATTTAAAATAACAAAAATTTTATTCCTCACTTCAATGTTCATGCTAACAGATTTATCTTAATTGGCTAATTACATTTAAAACTTTAAAATATTTTTGTCAGAAACTTCAATATCTCTTTATAACTAAAGCCAAGAGCCAGAGTTTAATGTTACATCTAACAAAGAAATAAAATTTTACGTTTCAAAAGTTCTTTTACCATGCGTTCCTCGACCAGCTCAAAGTATATAATTACATAAAATATGTTTCTTATAAAATCTGATACGAATTAAATCTAATAAAAAAATCACCGTTGTATTTAAGAAACAGGTGATACACGTTTGCGGTTGTTGTGTACGTCTAGACAGGTGTAGGAGAAGAGATACAACTCGCGAAGAAATACGCGGACAAACTTAATTGGTAAAAAACGTGTCCGTCAGTTTGTTTGTGAAGGAATTTATATTGTATACAAACTAAAACGTGTGTTTAGGACGCGATCTACACAAAAGGCGATAAAAAATAGTCGGTGAAGTAATAGATTTTTTCAAAGCTTTAAAAAAAAACAGTCCCTCTACATTATTGAGAGCGAAGTATATCAATATTGTATTTCTTCTTTCCATTTTGTTACAATTTTGTTTTCTATTTCAAGTTAAATTTCAAAGCAATCACACATTCTTGCGACTCGTAATTCTAAATCAATCAATAGGCTGAAAATACTCACGATCAGTATATGTGGGTTGTTGAAAATATTTCAAATATATCAACATTATTTATTCTAAATCTATCATGACTGAATTCATTGTATACTCACAAAGATTGAAAGAAATTTAAATAGCTTACTAGTATAGTCGTGTATTTTTATATTTGGTAGAAAATTCGGATATTATTCTTGCGTTGCATACAAAAATGCATGTAGAAGTAAGTACAATGTACAATAATCTAAAAAAATATATTGTGCACTGGTAATTTCTATTCTAAAAATTGTCAAATCATTCTAGATTTTTTTTAGAACTGCTGAATGATTGCACTCTATATAAAACATATAGATGTAAATAAATAAATTTGAATATTTTTAAATGTATGTTTTTTTAAAATTTACTAGCGATTACAATGAAACAAAACATAAAAATGTATAATCATAATATAGTATAGAATATGTATATTATTTAAATTTTCACTAGTAATTTTCTTCTGTTACAATGTTTAAAATATTTTTTTAAAACTACTATATGCTTATCAGCATTCAGCAGTCGAAACATAACAAATATTTATCGTTTTATATATATATATATACATATATATATATATATATATATATATATATATATATATATATATATATATATTACATATGTATATTTTAGGGTGGTCCTTAATATGGACATTTTCAAATTTCCTTGCTCCCAAGGGCTCAAATGGTTCCAAATTGATAAAAAACAATTCTCCGAAAGTTTTAGCTCTTAATATTAACTTTTAGATAGTGCGCAATTCAATCAAACTTCGTATGGAAATAGCATGGAAAACAATTTGAAAATTTGAATAAAACTCATTCATTTGTTCGCTAAAGTATATCTAAAAACATTTTTAAAATTTTTGAAAATTTTTTCATGCTGATTCCATACAAAACTTTGATTGATTGCGCACTATCTAAAGAACTATATTAAGTGCTAAAACTTTCAGAAAATTGTTTTTTATCAATTTGGAACCATTTGAGCCCTTATGGGAGCAAGGAAATTCGAAAATGTCCATATTAAGGACCACCCTAATATATATATATATATATATATATATATATATGTACGTATATGTATATGTATATTATTTACATGTATCGTATCTTTTTTTAATTTTGATAGTTAGGCTGCAAAAATCTGGAGAAATTTTAGTATAAACCATTCTCGTTAATATTTTTGAATATTGACATAGCTTGAGTCAGGTATTCTCACTTTGATTCAAATTTTACTTGCATGCAAAATATTGATATATACCATAAACATATTAGTGTATAGAAATATATTGTTAAATATTCCACATTTTTTTGTAAACATGATTGTACAATTTTAAACGTGCAGAATAAATAATTTCAACTATATATCAATTATTTAGATGCCAAATTCTCGAGAAATACCTATTAGTATAAAATCGTTTTTATTGATTATTTCAAATATGGCAAATCGTTTGAAAATATTTTTTCAATGATATTAATGGATAGTTCAACATTGAATTTTATAATGATGTGAATAATTATAAACTACAAAATACTAACGAAAAAAATGGAGAGACTCCTTCATAGGGAATAAAACATGTCATTTTCCGACAACTCTATAATTAAGGGTCATAAATTTATATAACTAACATGTAACATGTAATTACGGATATATATAGATCAAAAATATCAGAGACTTGTAATGGCTTATTTTAAAAAAATGTTTGTTATTTTGAAAAAGTGGATTATATCTTTTGTATTTTTACCGACTGAAAAATAATTTTTGAGTTGTTTAAGTATATATATATATATATATATATATGTATATATATTAGTTATCATTTACCTGTGACAAATCCGAATCATCCCTGATCTTTTCCTCTACGCTGATGGTCCTGGCTGCGATGACCACCGGAACCACAAATATTAAACCCACAACGATCGAAAATCGACTTTCCGGCGACATTTTATTGTTTATAATAATTCACAATAGTTTATTTGAAATATCACTATTAATTTTATCACTATTTTAAACGGCAGCACACAGATTTAAATTTGATTTAGTTCATTTTGGCATTTAGTTACGATCTTAAAGAAACTGTCGGCGCGGACCACCAACCAACACCACCTAATGTAATATATATTTTTTTTAGAAGAATAGAGAATTGATGAAAAATTATATTGTAAAATAATAGTAAAATAAAATACGGTTTTATGTGTTAATGAATTATTTTGCAAAATTAATTGCGCAAAAAAGCATATACAGGTAAATGCATGTGTATGCGCTTAATTGTGTAACTACTGAAACGTTAAAGTAAATCAAAACAAATTGTACAATATAATAAATGCATCAAATAAATTACCTAGATTAATTTTTTACGTCGAGATCTTTAATCCATAACAATCAATACCTCGTACTAAATTACTAATTACAAGTAGAGAATCAAATATCATCTACCTACTTTCGACTGCCGAACGGAAACTGTTTGAATTTGTATGTATGAAACAGGTTTCACGACAGCCTATCCCCACCGTGGCCCCTGAAACAGGCGACAGAGCGCTTGCGAGCCGCGTTTGTGCCGGGACGAATTACCGGGGACATCTAGGCCCTAGACGACGACTAGCATATTCGCGAACCTTGCACGCACTCTGAGAACCTATAGATTTATTAATTCATCATTAACTTCCCGTAGGGTAAGTTATAGTAATCGCAAAAAAATTGAAAACGAAAATTTTTATGTATCTTTACGTTTCAGAGGTTTCTGAACATTTTGGCATACCTTAGAAAAAGTGGATGTATGTGTGTGTGTGCGGATACAAATTTTCGACTATTTCAGGAACACCGATCAACAGATTTGAATAATTCAAAAAACATTCGATTCGTATTAATAAAGAGACGTGCTGATTAGTTTTTGGCGGAGGCAGGTCCAGCCGTTCCGAAGATACGGGTCAAAAAGTGCCAAAACCGGTACCTCAGTTTTTAAGAGCGTCCGATTTTATTAATTCAAAAAACATTTCACTTCTATTGACAAGATAAAGAATTGGTCAAATTTTCATGAAGGCAGGTCTAGCGCTTTCGGAGATCTAGTGAAAAAAGTAAGAAAAAATGCCATTTGACGGTCAAAAATGATCATTAGACATATGCACATCAAATTATCAGATATTTAATAGAGATTTTAACAATAAGTATATATATTTTTTACATTTCTATGGGTTCCGTACCGATGTGTACGCGTTAGACGGCGACGCGGCGCTTACGCGCTTTTATATTTCGTCTTTATGCAGTTAAAACAGTACGATTGCTTTGAAAAAAAGTTCAGAATTTCCAAATTATTTCAAAATAAATGATTTAAGATAGAATGATTTAATATGGTTCGAAATTCTATTAAAAGTTTCAAATCAGTGATCAACTTTTATTGATTATTATTATTGATTATTTTTATTTACTCGAATTTTGAATTGCGGTACGGGAAGTTCCAGCAATTTGCCTTAAGGCACGATGCCCTAATTGCCTTAAGACAGAATTCCACTTACAGCTAGTTTCATTATTAGCTTTTGCCATTATTAACTTCCCGAAGGAAAATATGTTTTTTGCTAAAAAATCCGATTGGCTAATTTTATGTTCTCCCGACGTTTTAAATGATTTTGAAACGAATGAGACCAAATCATTGAAGTTTGAAATCGAAAAATTGTTACGATAAAAGTTTGAAACTAGTGGAGTGCATGGCATCGTGCCTTAAGGCAAATTGCTGGAACTTCCGTATTGAATTATTTTTACGAATTACCGTAATTAAAAATCTTGCCACGGAACCCGAAATGTGTACACATTATTAAAATCTCTATAAAATATCTAATAATTCGATATACATATGTCCAATGAACATTTTTGACCGCCAAATAACATTTTTTTAACTTATTTTTATTGAGAGACCATAACCGCTGGACCTGCCTTCCCAAAAATTTAATCAGTTCTTCATCTTGTCAATACAAGTAAAATGTTTTTTGAATTATTAAAATCGGACGCTCCGTTTTCTTAAAAACTGAGGTACCGTTTTTGGCAGTTTTTGCCCCGTATATTGGGAACGGCTAGACCTGCCTATGCCAAAAACTAATCAGCACGTATCCTTATTAATAGGAATCGAATGTTTATTAAATAATTGGAATCGGTTGAACCATGTTCCCGAAATCGTCGACGAAATTCTGTATCAGCACACACACACATACTCACACACACACAAATCCAAGGCATGCCAAAATATTTAGAAACCTCTGAAACGTAAAGATATATAAAAATTTTCATTTTCGACTTTTTTACGATTACTATAACTTGCTCTACGGGAAGTTAATTTCAAAAAATTCCAATAAAACAAACTTTGATGATTTTTTATAATTGAACACTGATGTTTTTTAAGACCAAGAACAAAGCTTCATTTCATTTTTCTCAGAAGAAACGGTCCTGCGTATGTCCAAATAATGAATTTTTAAGTAATGAAACACTGATTCTGTATAATTAATTTAATTCAGGATAAAAACTTCAGTACAACCTAAACAACTAAATAAAATATAGTGATCCATCTTTTAATTAATCTTTTTCAAAATAATACAATCCACATTTATATAAATTTTGCAATTTTATGAACTCGTATATGCATGAGAGTTACAAGCGCTATTAATAGTGCGTATTATATTTTGAATTTGTGAATATTAGAAAAAGTAAATAATTATGATATATTTATATCATTTGGCTAAAATTAATTTTTCTTAATATATTAATAAAATATTATACATACCAGATGTATGTGAATACATCATAATTGCATTTCATACATGTATTCATATTATATATATTTATATATATATATATATATATATATATATATGTAATTTAAAATATATTTTATAATACAGATAAAATTTATGAAATTATAATTTACATATATATATTTGCATATATTAATGAACTTAAAAACTAATTCAATTAACCTAAGGTTGTGTCTCTAACGCCAAAAGCAGTTTGGGTCATACTTTGTTAAATTTATGCATTTTAGCTTGAAAATAACATCTCGTTATATAAAATAGACAAAAGCTAGAAAACATTAAATAAAATATTATCCTTCAATAAAAGAAATCTATGAACATGTGCGTTGTTTTATACAAAAGGCACCCGGTCAAAATATTTTGTTTACGAAACAAGCAATATTGTTTTAATACATCTAATATATAAAGCTACTAGAGCATTCTATATCCTATTATAAAATTTCAACTTCGAGCCCAAGATCACAAATAGATACAAATATTTCAAGCAAAGCGAAAATTTGAAATGTTAACAAGAATAATATGCTCGTAAAAACATTGAAATTAATCTGTAAAAACTTTGTCCTTTTGAATAAATTATATCAATTGTGTGTTAAATTAACCCTAAATGTTTCCAAAGTATGAAAAATGTACAACGTACATTAACAAACAATTGTGCAAAATATTTGTATAAGTATAAAATGTTATGTGATGGCAGTTCCATTGTAGCACAGTATAATAAGATGTTTAAACAATTTATTATACTTTTTATTTAGCAAATTAAATAGTTGCGAGAGAATAGTCCCATCCTGCGCATGCGATCTGAAATTAAAAAAAAATTAAATAATAAAGATATAAATATAAATTTTACATGTAAAGTGTATATGCTACTTAATAGCATGCTTATGTTTTTTCCGAAAACCTAAATACAACGGCTTCGAAAATAGTACAAAAGCAAGCTTGATCGTAGCTTGTGTTATCCAGGTTTTATAAAAAATAATTTACAAATGCTGTTTATTATATTGTGGCACTTGGCTTACAGTATTATGATAAAATAAAAATATTTATTCGATCATATTTAGAATATTATCAATTTGTATAAATATTTTTTCTTACTGTTATTATTAATCTCGCTGGGACCACCACTTTGGATTATTTATTTACCAAAAAATAGTTATTCAAACTATTTAGATATATAATCGACTATTTCTAAACATAATAAAATACTGTCGCCTTGTATCGCCACAATATAATAAATGTATGTATTCCATTCCATTTTCTAGGGTAGAAATAATGAACCTGGTTTATGTGGAAAGTATTGTGTGGAAAATACAAAAAAAAAATGCATGAAGTATGTATAAATGATATAGTTAAAACATTACATAACGATTTCGTTATATAAAATCAAATATAAATGTTGATAAAATGATACCAAAGCATACATATAACAAAATGACTGATGTGCTTTAACCTTGTGACTTTAATTTAAGAAGCAATTAGAACACTTCTAACTAATCAATGAATTATTCACACACACATCTAGAAAAATACACCCAGACATTAAAGAAATATAAATTTACAATGTAACGATATTATTTATGATGATACTATTTATACCATAGCAAATTTTATGCATAAATGATTTAATGAAAATCAGTTTCGTATGCAAAATGAAGGTAATCAATTTTCGATAGCCAAAGCAGCAATTAAAACTCAATTATGTGCGCTCTAATCCATAGATTAATATCTCAAAATTTCGTTTTAAATCGATCAGGGCTGTGTAATTAGTTTTCTGGAATTGTAATATACCAATAAATATAATAGACGATAGTATATGATAGATAAATATCGAAAGAACAGTATAAAATTTCTAAGAACGTGTTATGCTAAAAATTTCCTTCGATTGATGCAAATTTAGATTTTAGAAATTAATAACTTAACACTTAGTTAGCGAGTTTGACATGAGCAAAACTATTAAATACAAAATAATTTAGAACAAAACTTGAAAACAAACAACGTACTTTATCTAAAATGTAAGTTAATGGGATTAGTATGAATTGTATGAGTTAATAAAAAATTAAATATTGCCAATTTATAATTAGTAAGCAGTAAAGA